GTGGTGATCCTTCTGCCTTCAAAGCGCTAGGGTTACAAGCATGGACCAGCACACAGAGCTACTTTATTCAATTTAAACAAAAGTCATTTCAAAAAAGAAAAAAAAAAACCATCATTTTAACATGTACTCAAGTTTTCTTAAAATTAACATTATATTACTTTTTTCAAAAGAAGTCTTCAAAATCTGATACAGCTTACACTTAACAGCAAGTCCAAGTCAGACGAGGCGCACTGCACTGCCCAGCAGCCATGGCAGAGCTAAAACACTAAGCAGTATAGCTCTAATGTGGACATTTGAACTGGGGTAACAAAGACTCATGATAATTATATTTTAAAAACAAAAATATACCTAGTATAAAAATGGTTCTGCTTTATCACTGTAGTATCTCTCTCCTTGAAGGATATGCTAAACAGGAAAACTGAAGTAAGTAAAAGGAAACAAAGACGGCTATAATAAAATTTTAAACCAAACAGTCCTACCTCCCCCTGAACTAAAATGCACCATCACACTTGAGACTCACCTCCTCAAGTTCATCTCTGCCAAGGCCTTTGTATTCTTAATATGAAAAACACATTTTAACACAAACCAAAAAAAAGCTGCCCTATTTTAACTTAAGTCTATCAATTATTAACTTTCTTCAAACAAATCTTTGATACTGGACAGAACCATTTCTTCACATTTTTCTGAGGTTGCCACGTACACTTACTTTTTTAAAGAAATAGCTGCAATAAAACCATGTAAAGAAAAATAATTTTTTATTCTCTTGTTTCTTATATTTTAATTTTCTAAAACATTGCCCCCATTTTTGTATCTCTTAAATCAGACAGTTAAAGACACAATTAGAGTAGATTCTCCATGTGGGACGGGAATCATATGCTTCATAGCAGCGTCCACTGGGTATCACAGGCAGCAATTCTGTCAGCTCCTTTTACTTTAGACTTGTAAAATACACAACTTCCTTACCAACTCCCTCAGAGGTCAGAGAGATGATAGGGTGGCCAGCAAAACGGGGAGGAATGCTAGGTCTTCAGGTATGACTCTTCATTTGGGCTGTTGTTTTTAATAAAATTAAATATATCTTCCCTCTGGGCCTGGCATGGCCTTTTGAAAAGTCAAAGTCACTCACAGTGACACATCTCCTAATCTTTTCCAAGACAGTCCCAGCAATTAGGGACCAGCATTGAAATATATGATCTTGTAGGGCATTCTCAAACTACCACAGGAGATTAATAATAGCTGATTTCCAAACCTATGACAAAACTATAATAAATAAGTCAATACAGTACAACCTTAAGACCAAACAATAATAGATGAACAGAACAAAATGGAGTGCAGACACAGACCCAACATCTGTAAACAACTGACATTAACTAAAGTATCTAAGTAATTATGGAAAAGTGGCTGATCAGGCAAAGAAGAACTGGATGTGGCCCATGCCTTTAATCCCAGCACTGGGGAGGCAGAGGCAGGGGATCACTGGGACTTGGAGGCCAACTTGGTCCACATAAGGAGTTTCTGGGCAGCCAGAGCTACACAACAGAGAGGCCCTGTCTCAAAGAAATGAAACAAAAATAAAAGAGTTATTTTATTTTTTTATTTTTTAAATATTTATTTATTATGTATACAATATTCTGTCTGCATGTATGCCTGAAGGCCAGAAGAGGGCACCAGACCTCATTACAGATGGTTGTGAGCCACCATGTGGTTGCTGGGAATTGAACTCAGGACCTGTGGAAGAGAAGGCAAGGCTCTTAACCGCTGAGCCATCTCTCCAGCCCAAAGAGAGTTATTTTAACAAATGTTACAGAACAACCAAACATGCACACAGCTGTCTGAAACTCCAGTTCCAGGAGATCCAAGGCCCTCTCTGGCCTCAATGAGCATCAGGCATGTTATGTGATATACATACATACATGTAGGCAAAACATTCACACACATCAAATAAAATAAAAATAAATTTAAAAAAAAATTTCTCAAACTCTGGTCTTGTATGATATACAAGTAAATTCAGTATCACCTGAACCCAAGAGTTTGAGGGCAACCACAAATATCATGAGTCATCTCTCTTAACAGTAACAACAAAGTAAAACTAGAAGAAAATACAGTTTCCATGGACTTGGGTTACCAAATGCACAATCCACCGTACAACTTTAAGCTAGTCTTCCATCAAAATTTAAAACTAGGTGATGAGAAGGCAGTTCGGTCAGGAAAGCCTTTGCTATGCACACACGAGGATCTGAGTTTGGATCCATCTATTACCCGTGTCAAAGCTCGGCATGGGGCCAATGTCTGCAACCCCAGTGGAGGGCGGGAAAGGGAGGATACTGACAGGCAGATCCCTGAACTTCCTAGCCAGATAATCGATAAACTTCGGGTTCAGTAGACTGTGACCCAAAAAAATAAAAGTGGAAATCACCAGAGAAGTCAGCATCAATCTATGGCTTCCACCTCCACACACGCACCTCCATAAATGTGTGCACACAACATACACACAGCACAAATATACAAATTTAAGGGCTGGAGAGATGGCTCAGTGGTTAAGAGCATTGCCTGCTCTTCCAAAGGTCCTAAGTTCAATTCCCAGCAACCACATGGTGGCTCACAACCATCTGTAGTGAGGTCTGGTAGCCTCTTCTGGCCTTCAGGCATACATATAGACAGAATATTGTATACATAATAAATAAATAAATATTTTTAAAAAAAACAAATTTAACTTCTGTTCTTCAAAAGATATTTTAAAACATTTTTAAAATTATTATTTTATGTGCATTGGTGCTTTGCCTGCATGTGTGTCTGTGTGAGGGTGTCATGAAGTCCTGGAACTGGAGTTACAGACAGGTGTGAGCTGTCATGAGGGTGCTGGGAATTGAACCCAGATCCTCTAGAAGAGCAGTCAGTGCTCTTAACCACTGAGCCATCTCTCCAGCTCCAAAAGATATTTTAAGAGAATGATAAGCTACCAGTAGGAAAGTAAGATTTGAGAAATCAACTTCTTGAGAAAGGATTTGCAACTTAAAGAATTCTGAAAACAGGAGTTTGCGAGATGCTCAGGAATTAAGAGCACTGACTGATCTTCCAGAGAACCTGGTTAGCACCTACACAGTGGCTCTTAACCATCTCTAACTCAAGTTCCTGGGGACCCAGTGCCCTCTTCTGGCCTCCATGGACACCAGGCATATATGTGGTACACATGCATACATGAATGAAGACAAAGCACCTATACACACATGATAAAAATAAATTTAAAAAATTTAACTCAACAACAGAAATCTATAAAATCAAAAGTAAGGGGCTAGAGAGTTGGCTCAGTGGTTATAAGCAATGTTTGCTCTTCCAGAGGGCCCAAGTTCAATTCTTAGCACCCACACGGCAGCTCACAACCATTTCTAATTCCAGTCGCAGAAGATACAAAACCCTGCTCTGGTTTCCTCTTTGGCCTCCTCAGCCAACAGGCAAGCAGGTGTCTCACAGACACACACGCAGGCAAAACACCAAACACACAGAATAAACAACAACAATAACAGAAATCAAAGGTAAGGTGATACCTGCCTTTACTTCTAGCACTGGTGAGGCAGAGGCAGGGAGATCTCTCAGTTCAAGGTCAGCCTGGTCTACATAGTGAGTTCCAGGTCATTCCAGGCTACCTAGTAAGACCCTGTCTCCAAAAAGCAACAACAAAAGATATAGACAGACAAAAAAAAATAAACAAGTAATAATATTACACTAACATTAGTAGAAAAATACAAATTAATTTGCATGCACCACTGGAACTGGAGAGAGGGTTCAAAAGCTAAAAGCACTGGTTGCTCTTCCAGAGGGCCCAGGTTAAGTTCCTAGCACCCACTTGACAACTTACAACCTCTGTAACTCCAGTTCCAGGCAATCCGACACCTTTCCTGACTTCTGCAGGTACATGATGATCAGACATAGATGCCAGCAAAATTCATACACATAAAAGTAAATGAATCGTTTTTTTAAAAATGCACTATTGCTAGACATGGTGGCAGGTACCTATAATCTCTGAACCTGGAAGATGGAGGTGTCCTCAGATAGATAGCAAGTTTGAAAATTTTTAAGTGAAAGTAATAAAATAAAATAAAACCATACACTATCAATACCTATTAAAACGGCTAAAATTCAAAGCCACGATCATGGTCTGGGCATTGTAGTTCAGTCTGCAGAGTGCTTGCCTAGCATGCATGAAACCCTTGGTTCAGTCTCCTGCACCACATAAACTGTGGTAGCACACACCACACTCAGGAGATAAAGGCAGGAGAATCAGAAGTCCGAGATCCTCCTTACCCTGGGCTCCATGAGACCCCATCTCAGAAAAAAAAAAATTGTCTGATCATACCTGAAATGATTAAGGCAAAGCCATCTTGTCCTGGCTCCTTTTTGATCTGCTCAGATAGTACTCAGTCCTCTACCCACAACAGTGATATCTGTCCTGGTAACACATTTGCGATTTCCGTGACCCTGACCATGACTCAGCTCTACTGACAAAAATAAAGCTTATACGAACATAAACTAAAATAACAGAAGAAGGTATGTCAAGAGTAATTGTCAGTTAGGCGGCAGTGGCGCACACCTTTAATCCCAGCACTCAGGAGGCAGAGGCAGGTGAATCTCTGCGAGTTTGAGGCCACCCTGGTCTACCAAGTGAGTTCCAGGACAGCTAGGGCTATTACACAGAGAGACCCTGTCTTGAAAAACCAAAACAACAACAACGAAAAAAAAGTAGGGATGGGAGCATAGGCCAATGGGGGAGTGTCTAATATATCAAGGTCTGGGGACTCAATCCCAGCCCTGAAAAATAAATAAAACAAAAATGAATGTTTTGTCTTAATAATTCATAAAATTCAAGAAGGATTTAGAGTCTGCTATACTAAGAAAATGAATCTCAAGCGCTATTAGCTGAAGGTAGGAATGAGTATTTGAAATTGACTGTAGTTTGGTCTATATGATAGCCAAGAAGAGACATGTCCAGCAATTTTACCCACCGATTTTGTTCCTCCAGCTTAGCCAGGAGTTCTAAGTCGTCTGGACTCAACTTTGATGGGGAGGCCGGGGAAAGCGCTGGAGTTGACAGTGTGGTGGATGAGGATGTCGTGTGCAATGACGCAGATGGACTGGCCACCTGACTGGCCATCTGACTGACTGTGTGCGAGACTGTGTTCTTCACCCATGAGAGAGTAGAGCTCAGCTTTTCCGCCACCTTGTCTGTCGCCACCTGAGAACAGAGAGCACATTTTAGTTGTGTTGCAATCGATGTGGGATGCTCCTCTGTGTTCTGTGAATATGGTTTATTATCATTGGTTAATAAAGAAGCTGATGTAGCCAACAGAAGAAGGCAAAATCTGGGAGACACCAGCAGTTACTAAGGAAGCAAGCTGTGAGGTGACAGTCACGAGACTCACTAATAGAAATGGGTTAACTTAAGTTGAAAGAACTAGTTAATAATAAGACTAAGCTAACAGGCCAAACAGTTTGTAATTAATATTACGCCTCTGAGTGGCTATTTTAAAGCCCGCGGGAAAGGGCAGGATGAGAAACCTCCAGTTACATGCAATCATTTCCACAAACTTGGTGACCCCACTAAGTTTACTCAAAACTCACTGAGGTGATGGGGGTTAAGCCTGTCTCTGCTACCATTATTCTAACATCCAAACTTTGGAACTTTCTTCATCTTCTTTAATATCTATTCATGTCTATGTTATGTGTTTGCCTGCATATATGTGTATACACCACATGCATGCCTGTTGCCCTCAGAAGCCAGAAGAGGGTGTCAGAGCCCCTGAAGCTGGAGTTAAACATGGTTGTGAGCTGCCATGCCAGTACTGGGAACCAAACTCAGGTTCTTTGCAAGAACAGCAACTGCTTTGTAGACCAGGCTGGCCTTGAACTCAGAGATCAGCCTGCTTCTGCCTCCCAAGTACTGCAATTAAAGGCGGATGCCACCACTACTTGGTACAAACAATGTTTCTTATGAAAAGCTTCTGAGCTGGCAAAATGGTTGGCTCAGCCAGTCAATGTACTTGCCATGAAAGCCGAGCACCTGCATTTGATCTTCAGGACTCACACAGAAAGTAGAAGTTGAGGACAAACTCCATAGCTGTCCTCCATCCTCCATACTATGGCATACATGCCCATGAGTGTAAACACATACACAGACACACACAATAATTTTTTAAAGTCTTAGCTGTGACATATGTAGCCATAAAGATTACAAGCCATGCAGTACTTGTATGATCTTCGAGATCTCAAATCTTATGTGACAGGGAAAAAAAGGTTAAAGCACTATAAACCATCTTCTGAATAACTTAATGCCAGCCACCCTTAAGTTTATGTACAGTAATTCATTCACAGACACTAAAACACAACACATGCACAAACATATGCTCCAAATTCGGACAGTAAACAGTGCTCTCATGGATTGTCCAAAGCTATAAAATGGTGCTCTCTCCCCACATCCTAGACTTTCACCTAGGATGAAAACTCTGTGCAGGGAAAGGATAATATGAAAATAATTCTAAGACATATTAAGCCATTCAACATAGCAGTGAAGCATCTAATACAAGAAAGATTCAGCTTCAAGAATTGAGGGGGCAAGGATTTTACCCCAAGCTACCTCTAGCTTCTCCTTAGCTTTCAGTCCCCGCCCTACGAGAACTTCTTTCCTTCTGGAATACTATCACAGAAGAGGCCGTGTGACCATGGTTACTGAGAACGCTCACAAGAATAACAAGAAGGATGGACCCCATAGGAAAGAAGCATGGGGCAGATTATTTATTCAGTTTGCTTCCTTCCAGATATCTCACCCAAACTCCAAACAATTGCTGCCAACTCACAGATCAGCACAGTTCACTACAGGAATCAAAGAATACTAGAGCCAGCTGGGCATTGGTGGTGCACACCTTTAATCCCAGCACTTGGAAGGCAGAGACAGATGGATCTCTGTGAGTTCGAGGTCAGCCTGGTCTGCATAGTGAGATCCAGAACAGACAGGATCTCAACGAAATCATCTTAGGGGGGAAAAAAAACAACTAAAGCCAGGTAGAAATCCAACTAAGCAACAAGAAAAAGTGATGTTACTCTAGTGACCCTTCCTATAAAGAAAAACCTACAAATCACTACAAACTGTGAAATGACAGTAATTTGCATTGCAAAGGCACCGAATAACATTTAAAGCCAGAAAACTTAACATATGGTCAGAGAGGCTCCAGAGATGACAAAACTATAGGTTACTGTCATCGCTCCTGATTGCCCACCAGAACTAACTTGTAAGAACCCACTGAAGATGCCACAGACAGACGGCAGCAGGATAGAGAAATAAAGCTGGAAATGAGCTGGCAGCGTCTTCCCTGTGGCTCACTTGCATAGTGTTGGAAGGTGGTGTGTATGCTACTGTGAGGTAGAGACAATGTCATCAATAGTTTCACTGGTGGACCTGTTTGCTACAATACCAACCTGCTAGGGAAAGTCTGCCCACTGGAGCAATCATGGTATGGCCGCGATGAGGATAGCTAACCAATTTCTAATTTGTGCTCCACAGGAAAGAACTCACGCCTAGCACTGTAAATCTGGTCACCAGCCCATGGCTGGGAAGGCCCTAGCAAAGGACCTACTATTGTTATTTTGCTAAAATAGACACAGTATCAAACTGCCTTCTAAGTACAAATGTTTACACCACAGGAGAGTGCTGACCTCAGGCTGTCAGTGAAGCTTCTCCCTGCAGTGGGCAGTGTAGCAGAAACTCACAATTAGTCAAAGTGCTGGGAATAATGAAGTATGGTGTGCTTGACCTTAAACTGGACAACTATAAAACCCCCTCTGAAGTTCAGGAAACATACAGAAGATGTAAGAGGCAGGGGGGGGAGTTGAGAAGAACAATGTTTTCTGGGGTTAATGAGAAAGCTTGGCAGATCAAGTTGCTTGTTACCAATTCTAACAACCTGAGTTCAAGCTCTAAAATCCATAAAAGGCCAAGTGTCAAGTGTGTACCCACATATACAAAAACACATTAAAAAAAAAAAAAACCTGGGGCTGGAGAGATGGCTCAGCGGTTAAGAGCGTTGCCTGCTCTTCCAAAGGTCCTGAGTTCAATTCCCAGCAACCACATGGTGGCTTACAACCATCTGTAATGAGACCTGGTGCCCTCTTCTGGTGTGCAGACAGAATGCTGTGTACATAATAAATAAATATATCTTTAAAAAAAAAAAACCTAATGTGAAAAAAAAGTGTCTTCTAGACACGACATAGTCATTGTTCTTGTGAACTCATAGCAGCTGTGATTACTACAAAAGGCCTGTCCAAGACTGGAGCCATCACCATTTCATGAAGGACGCGGGGCTTGTGAAGCTGATCCACCACTAATGGTGGAAGGATGAAGAAGGGGTCGTTTTCATTTGTATAGCCTGATAAGTTGTCCGTGTTCCAAAAAAAATAACCTGACACTCATACAGGCAGCAATATTTAAACTCTCTCTCAATTATTATTAAATTATTAAATAATAAGTTAAATATTAAACTAACCTCTCTCCCACTCACATACACAGATGAAAAAGTGGGGGAGGGGACTTGTTGGAAGGAGAGCTTAAGCAGGGGAGGTAAAGGAGGATACAAAGAAACAAAATTCATTATACAGGGCTAGAGAGATGGCTCAGTGGTTAAGAGCACCGCCTGCTCATCCAAAGGTCCTGAGTTCAATTCCCGGCAACCACATGGTGGCTCACAACCATCGGTAATGAGATCTGGTGCCCTCTTCTGGCCTGCAAGCATGAATGTAAGCAGAATACTGTATATATAATAAATAAATAAATAAATCTTTTTTAAAAAAATTCATTATACACACGCATGAGATTGTCATAAACATACTGTCTCCTAATGCCAACCATTAACTCAGAATATACTTAGTGAATTCCAAGCAGTCATCTTTATATTCCTGTTAGAGATAAGTCCCTCACAGAAGTGAATTATTGCAAAGGCAAAAGCAATCTACTATTTGCTCTAATTTATTAAAATGAATTACTTTACCATACCTCTTCTGTATACTGTAGCAACAGGCCTCCATTTAAAGAGTTTGGAACAACCAAAGGCACAATTCTGACATCCAATCAACCTTAAAGAAATGAGATTCAGCCTCAGCACTAAGTAATGCATTAATGCGGTTTACTGTTTTCATGATTTCACACATTCCATGTGAGTTAATTATCTTTCATACTGACCATGCCCTGATCTCCCTTCAGCTCTCACTGTCCAAATCCCCATCCCCAACCTCTTCTCTTAAGCCCACCTAGATCATGAACCTCACAATGCAAACGTTGCAAAGCTCTTGTCCACATCACAGACATGCTACATATTTATTCTGAAAAGTGAACACTCAAAAATGTTAAAAATAACATCAAAAAGGACAATTATACATTAAAGAGATACGTAGTACGATTCAATCTTTATAATGGGCAGATCCAGAGACCTTGATGGCTTAATGTTCCGTGTCACCTCCCACCCATCCCCCCCTCCCCCGGCCTCCCAAGGCACCAGTGCTGTCAGCTGGGGACCAAAAAGGGTATGGGTTTAGTCTTTACACATCATGGACCCACTGACTCCCAACACACAACAGCCCAGTGTTCTGGTCTGGGGATCTGAACTTCCACACTCAGTGCTATAATCTGTACTGTCAAGTCTGCCACCAACAGCAACTAGCTCTATCAACTCTGGAAGAAGTAACTCAACACACCAAACACCTAGCCCATCTTGAAGGCTTTCAAGGGACCTTAACCTCACAAGTCCAATTTATTTCAAGTCCAATAAAGATATCAACAATTACAGAGCCAGCAACAAAAAGAGGGAGCCAGCCAGAACAGACAAGAGACCAATAGGCTCTAGATGACCCAGCACAGCTATCACATGGAGTGTGATATCAAGGATTGCAAACCTACGACTGCCTAGTTTGTCCTAATACTGCTATCAGGGATGACATGCCACTGGTATAGCTGGAGGTGGCAGACAGCTGAGTCCCAAGAAGTTAGGAGAGACTGCATGTTTGTCCCAGTCAACATGACCTCTGAAAACAACATACAAGCAATTTTGACTCTTGTCAAACAAAAGCTTGGATATATAGATGTGACTGTCTGATGTGCAGACACTGCAGTGGCCATTAAGACATATAACCAAAGTCAGGCATTGTCACACATCCCTTTAATCCCTGCACTCGAGAGGCAGAGGCAGGTAGATCTCTGAGTTCCAGGCCAGCCTGGTGTGAAACAAAAACAAAAATCATACAATCTAAAGAAAAGGGGTCCATACGTTAAAGAACTTCCAGCAGGCTCTCAATGTGATCCACGTGGTTGCTGGGGAGATGGCCAGGGAGGCCAACATGGAGTTATCCTAACAATGCCAGTGTGGCTGCCTTTGAGGGGCAGGTCGCACAAGCCAGATGCTCTGCATCCAAAGAGACATGGTGGGCATGACACTAACCACTCCTCAAGAACTGGCCCTGTAGGCATCACCCGATAGCTGTTCCAGGTCTGCTTACCCAGAGGTCAAAGTGCTTACCTCACAAACCTGATGACCTGAGTTCAAGCCCAGGAATCCAATCTCAGTTACAATAAACTGTCTACAATGCTTTTGGTCTTGACATTTACATCGTCATATTCAACTTTATAGTGTCTCTCACCCTTTTCTGTCACTTGCTTTAGGCTTACACTGGGGCCTTTTCTCCTTCTCGGAACAAGTACGGCCCAGTGACTTTATACCCTTCATTTCTGACACACACGTTCAATTCTTCACGCTCACCTCTTAGCCTGCTTTCACTGCTTTTAATTTTTCTTCAGAACATTAATTTCTATTGCAATTTCTTTATCCAATATTATTTTAGAAGGATACTGTTTAATCTCTAGAAATTTGTATATTTTCCAACTATTTTTCTAACTTTACAACACAGGTTATACAATGACAGATCTGCTGGTCTCTAACGTAATTCTACTGTGGCCTGTAAGCACAAGTTAGAGACCACTTCACATCCCAGAATGTGGTCTGAATAGGTTTATCCTCAACCTTAGGAGATGTGTTTTCTGCAGTCAGTCACCCATTGCTGGTACTGCTCAGTGACAGTTACACTGTGCTGGAGTCTACACTTCTAACAGTGGATCCACTCAAGTCCAGGTTTTGCTTGTTGGTTGGCTTTGTATTGAGACAGGGTCACATGTGTCTGGGCTGGCCTCTAACTCACTATTTTGGTTTGCCTCGCTAACTGTAATGTCTTTTTGAAGAAATGGCTATACTCTGTTAGGTAAGGACTATCTTTATTCCTGGTAACTCCCTCTCAAGCCTGCTCTGTCTGAAATCAATACAGCCACTTCAAATTTCTCTTGATTATTTAACAAAGTCCAAAGGCAAAAAGCATTATGTAAGGTATGGTAGCATACATTTACAATCCCAGCACTCTGAAAGTTGAGGCAGGAAGATCCCAAATCCAAGGCCAACCTGAGTTACATAGTGAGATCTCACACCCCAAAGGGGGGATCGCAGCACTTAGGAGGATCTCTGTGAGCTCAAGACCACCCTGTCTCAAAAAAAAAGAGGGGGAAAAAAAAGAAAGAAAACTTTGTATATAAAATCCCTTCGGAACAAGAGTTTTTCCAATAACTACCGTATTGAGTTAAAGTCCTAACAATGCAATAACGTTTTAAATGTTTTTTTATTTAGTAAGTATAGATGTTTTGCCTGCATACAGCACAGACACTAAGAAACAATTAATGGGATCTCTCTGTACAACACGATCATTCAGTAAAGTGGCAGGGTACAGAATGGAAAAGGATCTTCACCAATTATACATCCAACAGAAGGCTAGTATCTAAAACATACAAAGAACTTTTGAAAAAAAGACTGGATATCAAGAAAATAACTCAACTGAAAAAATGGAGTAGAGAAGCATGCAGAGAGAGAGTTCTCAGAACATGGAGTGGAGAAGCATGCAGAGTTCTCAAAAAAGAATAAACATAAATGGCTGAGAAACATTTAAAGGAACGCTCACCATGGTTAGTCATGAGGGAAATGCAAATCATAACTACTTTGAGATTTCATCGTATGCCAGTCAGAATGGCCAAGATCAATAAAACAAGTGACAGCTCAAGCTGGTGAGGATCTAGAGTAAAGAGAACCCTTATTCATTGCTGGTGGGGTGCAACCTTGTACAGCCACTGTGCACATCAGTGTGCAGTTTCTCAGGAAGCTGGGAATAGATCTACCTCAAGATCCAGATATACCACACTCTTTTGCATATACACAATCCTACTCTATTAGGACTCTACATCTTACTACATAAATGTAGACATTTGCTCATCCATAATCATGGCTGCTCTATTCACAACAGCCAGAAACTGGAAACAGTCTAGATGTTGATGACAGGATAATGAAAATGTGGTACATTCACACAATGAAATAGTATTCGTTAATCGTTAAAAAGAATGAAATTTGCAGATAAATGGATGGAGCTAGGAAAAAAAAATCATCCAAGTGGGGTTACCCAAACCCAAAAGGAGAAATTAGTGTGTTTTCTCTTATATGTGGATATTGGCTTTTAAGCCTTTGATATGCATGCTACAATCCACATAACAACAAAGGTTAGGTACTTATTAAGGGACAAAGGGAGAGAAGAGGATCTCCCTAGGAAGGAGAAATCAAAGATGTATAGTTATGGCAAAAGGGCTGAGTGTGAGGACTAGATGGGGAGTGAGAAGGAAGAGTGGGGTGACAGAGGAATATGAAGAGAGAAAACTAAGGGCATTTGAGAAGCTGCTGGGAAACTCACTACCGTAGAAGTTTCCTAAGATACACACATAAATGAAAGAAATCAAAATGGTGCCATCAAACAACGGGGGTGACAATGCCCAAACTAGATTATCTTCCACCAAGAAGTGAAACCTTACGTGCCAGAAACGGGTAACATCTAGTTGAATGGTTAGCCAGAGGGGCACCAAGGAAACCCCAAATATCTGTGGCTATTCACAAGGTTATTGGTTGGCTCTCAACAAACTGATGAGAAGGCCTTTCGTTGAAGACAACATAGTTCATCAAACACAAACTCAAGCTGGTGCCTAACTAGAGGCTTCAACCCTGCTGGCTAGTGTTCATGGTACTGGAAGGTACTCTGTATGCTACCTGAGGAGAAAGGCAACCATCAACTCAGCTACAAACCCTGCAATCTACAATGGTGATCAGCCTGCAAGATATGTGGTGCAACAGTGACACAAATGTTGTGGGAGTTATCAACTATGCTATGATTGGACAGAAGGCTCACTGCATGAGATGGAACTCATATCAACTACGCTATGATTGGATAGAAGGCCCACTCTATGAGATGGAACTCATGTCTGACACTGCAAGGATTGTTAAGAACCTGAGACTGGATAAGTCACGGGCCTACAGGAAAACCACCATTCTGTTAAAAGTTAACAGCAATAAAATGACTTCTAAAGACATTCTACTACACGCAGAGATCAGCGTCTGAGTCATCATCCGAGAAGCTTCTTCCTACGTAGATGGGAACTAACACAGAGACTCACGACTGAACAGTGTACAGAGAATGAGAGACTCTGGATGCCTCCATCAAACCTTCCCCACAGGGCTCAGGGAGCCATGTGGAAGAGAGGTGGAAAGGTTTTAAGAGCCAGAGGGGATGGATGACTCCAAGGAGGACAGGATTCCACTGGTCAGAGGGAGAAGTGGGCATAGGCTCCCACCCTAACCAAGAAACTATCTGCAATTGACATCTGCTTGCAAAGGAAAAATTAGTTTTCTCCAATGGAGTCTCATTGGGTGTATTAGTCCCACTTAAGGGTAGCTCCCATGCCCTTCCATAGATGACCAACACAAAATAAATTGAAGGGTATTTTTGTAGACTTTTCGTCCCAAAATGCTTTATTTGAACATTTTTTTCTTATTGGTCCTGTGCTTGTACATTTGGGGTCCATTTTTTGTTGTTTCTCCAGTATGTGTCTGTGTTTGAAAATTTATTTTCTTCCCCACCCCCACCTTCCTTGGTTTGTTTGGGGTTTTCTTTGGTGGGGGGTGGTTGGTTTTCAGACACATATTATAATTCTTGTAGACCAGGCTGGTCTT